TCCTAGAATACCACAAATATGGAAATAATATCAAAAAAATAATGTGAAATAAAGGAAACAATATTTTTTTTCCAACAAAAATGTGTGAAATAAAAGAAATAATATTTTTCAATAAAATCCAACTTAATTTGGGATCTAACAATCTCCACCTTGATACAAATTTCGATGCAACGAATGAAATTTCAAAATTTCTTTTCCTAGAAAAATATGTTTGATTGTAACGAAAAATCCGAACTCTTCAACAAGAACCAACTCATCATCTTCGACGGTATCCAATACAAATACATGAAACCAAACACCAATTTTTCCAAAATTCACAAAGAATTAGAAATTAGAAAACAGTTTCGAAGCACACATTGTAGTAGAATCAACTCTAATGCTTTCACAAAAGGCCCTTGGCTAGTTTCAACACCTTCAAGAACGCTAAAATGCAAGTGCACCCGAATCAGCATCCACCTACTTATCTTCAATGGGTTTATCCCTAGTAGTTGAATACGATGGAACCACATCTAATGGTGGCAAAGTGAAATTATCCATATTCTCCAAACTCAACTTAGTAGTATTCTTCAATATTGGCCTGACAAAAACCCAAAGATACAGTATCAAATTGAATCTCCACTATGGTACTAAATTTATGTTGACTTTCTTCACACATTTTGCCTGACCCTGCAAGATGTACAACTGGGACCTCTTCCGTCCCTCCAATACAACACGAACACCATTCCGTACCCTCAAGACTCCATCTCCTCCAGAGAACTTATACCTTTTTGAATCGAGAATACTCAACGAAATGAGATTCTTCTTCAAATATGGAATATATCGAACGTGATGAAGTATTCTACATGTTCCATTCACCAATTTTAATTTGAATCTACCAATACTAGCTACTTGACAAGGTTCGTTGTTATCCATGAAAACAATACCTTGTGTCACCCTTTTACATGTTTCAAAAAAATCTTGATTTGGATACATATGAAATGCACAAGTTATATCCAAAATCCACTCTTTGTTAGGTTTAGATTCCATATCAGAAAATGTCAAATATCTCCACCACTCAAATTGTTCTCAACTATGTTGGTTTTATCTAAAGTAGTTGATTGCTTCCTATGACTTGTAGTTAAATTACTTTTGTTCAATAATTTGTTGCAATCCCTCTTAATGCGTTCTTTCTTCTTGCAATAATAACAAACCTAATTACTGAAATTTGACCTTGACTTACCTCTTCTCCGATCACCATGACCAATAAGGCCTTCTCTATCTCTGGCCTCAGATTCAACCAGACGAAGCGTCTTCTCATTTGAAATCAAGGTATCATATGCATATTCAACGCTGAGAGTATCACGATTATACAATATCGTGTCTCTAAACGAAGTAAACGAAGCTGACAACGAACACAAAAGGATTAAAGCCAAATCTTCTTCATCATACTTTACCTGTAAAGTTTTCAAATTCGCGATGATCTCCTTGAACATGGTCAGATAATCTTCTAAAGATCCGCCTTTTGACATGTTATGAGAATACAATATCTGTTTTAGATGTAGTTTGCATGTTAGACTTATAGTCATGCACAATTGCTCCAACTTCAATCATGATACATATGCCGTTTTCTCGTTTAAAACGTCTCGAAGAATATTGTTAGAAAGATGAAGATGGATTTGATAAAGTGCCCTCCGATCCTTCCGTTGTTTTTCCTTTGTCATCCAAGTTTTGGAAATTTTGTCAAATACCAACAACGCATCATCCAAATCCATCTGCACAAGTACAATTCGCATCTTCACTTACCACAACGAGAATCTTGTATTGTGATCCAAAAGCGAAATTTCATACTTCATGGTTGCCATCAATAACAAAAATCTCAAATAAATTATAACCAATAGCTCTGATTCCACTTGTTGAAAAATAAAACGGATCGACGTAATATATATGACACGTTGTGAAGTATATGATTGCAAACAAACAACAAGATTAAAGGTAAAGAATTAATTGATAGAGAAACGAAGTATTTTATTCAATTGATGAACATGAAGAAAACAAATACGATAACTATGCCTACACAATTATTATATATTTCAGTAATACAAAGCTTGTGAAAGAGACCAGTATATATAATGGTGTATACCAAATCCTTAAAAACAATATTAAAAAAAACATGGAATAAAGGAAATAATTTTTTTCCAATAAAAACACGTGAAATAAAGGAAATAATATTTTTCAATAAAATCCAACCTAATTTGGGTAAAAAAATCTAACAGTATGTTAAACAAGTTATATATGAAAGAGGAACAAAAATTTGCTCAAAGTGTAAGGTCTCATACATGAATTAGCGTATTTTCAGAAATTACCATTTCGGGGATGTTTAATTTAAAATTTACTTCATCCATTTTTTTGTATGAGACATTGGAACTCAAAATTTTTATCCATCTCCATTTATGCCTATGTTTGACCCCTATTTTCTCAAAAGGTTATTTTTTTAAAACTCATTTTCAACCATACATTCTCTTATAAAATAATATTACACATAAACCAAATATATTTTTTTTAATCACATATTCTCTAAAGAAATAAATATTCCAAAATTCATTTTCCTCCAAATTTCCATTAGAATGATCCCAAACGAGGTTATCTGGAGATGAGACCAGGCGGAGTTGCTTTTGAAGACTACTCTCGTTTAATGGGCACCTGAGTTAAGACTTGCTTTTGAAGACTGCTCTCATCTAATGGGCACCTGGCCGTAATGGGCCTACGATAGATTTTTGTTCTAAAGATAATAAGAACATCTATTTGGATTTATTTTTTGTGCATTAAAAAATTACTTTTTAAAGTTAAACATTAATTTTAACCTCATATTTTGTAGGATTCAAAACCATTACCACTTATCTACTACTAATTTCTTGAAAAGTAAAATTTTGACAAACCAAAATAAAATCGAAACATATGCAGAAGGCAAAAATGGCATTTCCTAGTTATTGAAGCGTAGAAGCAACAATGACTATAAATTAAGCCTTATTTTCATAAATTTGAGGTTCACCATTGCGTTCTTTTTTTCATTGTTAGATTTATTGATAGGTCACAAAGGTGACATGTCCTTCGTAGAAAATAAGTTAGAAGGACCTCTATGGAACAATAACGAAATTACTTACTAGTTAATGAACTAGTCAGAGTAAAACACACACTCATCAACGAAATGGCTTTTCCTAAAATTTAAATGAACTAGGCAATGCAAGCACATCCCTTAGAAGATAGAATAATTTCTCATCACTTGTGACTATTGTCACGCTGTGTGGGAAGATAATGACTTTAAATTGTAGATTCAGTTAGATACAATACATGAAATTCATGTTATTGATTGTTGTTTAAACATAATGATGATCACGGGTAGGCAATTAGTTTTTTCCTTCTAAAATTTTTTGTGATTATTTTTATATGGAAACCTTTTTGACATTTAGCCCATCTTAATTTTTTTTAGTCCAATCTTAGCTTTGTCCCTATGATCATCAATGATGATAAATAGCATTACTCTATAATTTAAAATATTGAATTTAATATTTTCTTTTGAGAAAAAATAATTATAGATTTGAATAATGCTATTTAGTGTCACTGGTGTTAAAATATAAGTTTATGTGGCATTGATATTGCATTAAATGGAAGGTTTAATAAACTAAATCACTTAATTCTAACTTTCATCGAACCTATCACTCAACGTCATCTAAACTGATATTCTAATACCACTGGTGCTAGATAGTATTATTTTATAAGCTTAGCCAAATATGCTTCCCTAGTGCAAACGGACATTTCACCAAAATCATCTCATTGTTATTAGTCCCTTTTTATCAAAATGTTAACAGAGATGAAATCATTTTTAACGATTACAAACTCATTATTCTTGGAAAGACGACCCTTCATTGTTCACAGAGAACAAACCAGACAGCCCGTCATCAGGCAGCAAAGCAAGCCTTATCAGACTTTCAGTACCTTCCTCGACTGTCGATAGGCCAGTATTGAAATTAAAATCTTTTTTAACGACGCCAAGGCACATGCTATTTTCTGAAAATTAGGGAGCTTCTTTGCTAGAATTCGCATGTATGCATTCATGGCTGCTTTTGACAGTGGTACGCTCCTACAAAACAAGGCCAGCCTCTGGCTTCCGGAGAATCTTTCTCGAAGTCTTTCAAAAACTCATTCAGCTTCTCATCGATACTATCTTCTGTGAGATTTTTAGCATCATTCAGCATATTTTTAGCCCACTCATTGGATATATTCTGAAATTCATGTATGAAAATTTGATGTCAATATTGAACTCTACGAGTATTGTTGCATATGCTGGACACGACATGTACTCGTTAGTAAGATTCTAGTTGTTTTTCCTTCAATAACATCAGATAATGTATAGTCTCTTACCAGACAAGTCCAAAGCACGAGAATATAATGTTGCATAAATTTGAAAGGAACCATATTCATAAAATCCTTTCATAAAATCATAAATTCCATGTTGAAATCAAAGAGACA